CAGCTCTTTCTTGCCTGTTAACTGTCCTTTGGGAATTGTTCATCTTTTCCCTGTCTTCACATAGTCATAAAGATAACAGATATCTATAGCCATAAATTATTTTAGGCTCTCAGATTAAAAGCACTGAGGAAATGCTATCAAGAGGAAATATTATCAACTGCAAATTAAGAACACTGACTTTTCATTTATAAAATCCATTTAAGAAAAATACAACTTACCATGAGAATAGAAATGTCTATTGAAATCCATCTCTGTGGGCAGATTTTTTTTAAAGAAATTCAATCATATTGTCAAAATAATGCGAATGAATAGTTTTATTTACTGCTGTAAACTGCAATTGTCTTACATTTTAGTAACTGTTAAAGTATACTGTATGTTACATTTGGTTTAATTTAAATTTTTCCTTAACACAATGACGCTGTCTTCTAGTACTGAGTAGGTGGAGATGTTTAGGATGAAGTTGCTAAATCAGGATAACGTTAATTAAAATTTTTTCATATGTAATGGATATCAAAGAAAAATAAGCTATATTATAATTTCTTCAGAATTTTAACAGTGATTATACGGATTTTAAAAAGTGATTCCAACATTGCAGCTGCAAAATAGGAGATATTCAACAGCAGGGTTCTTGCAATAATTGACAATCAACAGTAAAATGTGTCTTAGACAGAACTGTAGACCTTTTACAGCCATCTTGGCAATTGGCCATAACATGCATATCTAGCTACCTCTGGATGGCCTAGGGAATGTGTGGTGTATGTGCTACAAAATGCGGAACATGGAACTATTTGGAAAAAAAATAATTTTCCTGTGTCAATACATTTGATTGGCTATATCTATTAAAGCATCATCAAGATCTAGATTTTTTCCTCAGAATTGAACTTGCTCCATTATATTATTTATTTTGCTTAATGAGTGATTTGCAGCAGAAAATATTTCTCCATCACTGTCAGATCATCTCATTAAATCTGTTTTGTCTGATTTGATCTGTTTTCATTAAGTTATGTTTACTGGAATTAATTATGCAACTACACAATATTTTACTATTGATAAATCCTAGCTCAATATTTACATCAGGACTTTGTTTCCCAGTATGACAAGCAACCATGGAAAGAACAAAGAAAATTATTTGTTACTACCACAGCTGTACTCTGAAATATGAGATATGAGAATTGAGACACAAAATATGAAATATGAGAATATGAAATACAAGGAGACGCTACGTTTCCTAAGAAGTAACAATTGTCATGTTTATCTGACACAACAACATAACCAGTAAATACTTCCTATAACTAAGCATTATTATCTAGCATAAAGTTAACATGTATGTCAGAGGCATTGCTTAATAGAGGTAGAAATAATTTTGGAAACATATAATAAAATAATGAATATAATAAATATAAACAGAGTAACTATTAATATTAAAATTACTCATAATTAATACTAATTAGTGATCAAGGACTTGTGCCAATAACTGTTACAGAAATACTGAAAAAATAAAAGTATGTAATTTCAATTCTAAGTATTTACTACTTTTTGAAATTAATTTAGAGATTAATTGGAAAAAAACACCTAATCAATTTTAAAATTAGATTTCAAGATTCAACACCTTGATTTTTTTAAACATCATTTTGTTGTGTGTTTGGTTTGGGATTTTTTTTGAGATGGACTGCTTATTGTCACTTATAAAACTGTATTTAATGCTTCAGTATTCCAAATCTGCCTTTGTAAAAAAAAATTAAAATCTGACAGCCAAATTTCTCTCAACTGGAATTCTCAAATTACTCATAAGTATTTGGTTTTCTGGTAATACTGAAAATGCATATTTTCTATGGGAAAAAAAAGAATTATGATCAAGAAACTTACAACTAAGAGATGCAAAAGTAACAGCTAGATAGAATCTATAGTTGTTTGTGTCTTCAAAGAGAAGTTAATCTATAATTGAGGTACAACCGCTGATCTTCCAAATAAAGATGCCACACCTCAGACTGACTGTCAAGGAGAAAGACAATGATTTTCAACTGTGGTTCAGTATGATGTATACTTTTAATAAAAATTCCAATAATTTGTATCTGACTTTTTAGTATTCTTCATGCTTTCCTCTCTTTGTCTGTTCAATCTTATTTGTCAATCCCAAAGGCCTTTAATACTAGTTTTCTATCAGATATTATACTGTATCATTCACTTCTGTATACATCGAAGTTTAAACAAAAAATATCCAACCTTTACTGTGCCAGGTCATTTAGCTCCATCTTATAGCCTAATTCGGTGTCTGCTAAGAAAGTATCACATCTTATACAGCTCATGGAAGAGTATTTTTGAGGATTATTTTATGAAAACATTTACTGTTATACACGTATCTTTCTTGTATGTAACAGTAAATGTTAGTACACTTAACTAACTATACAAAAATTTGGTATCCAATTTTTGTTTACTTTCTATTTCTTTTTGTCTTTGATTAGTATTCACTTTAATGTCTGCATATGTCATGCACATTGTACTCACTGATGAATGATATCACTTATATATTCCAATTGCAGTTTTTGTAATTGTTTGATATAAGTACACATAAATAGCTGAAAAGAGCTAAAAGCAATGTTTCGATTTTGAATTAAATATTTCTGTCATGTAAGTAAGTTAACTGAGAGACACAAAAGTTTTTAAATTAGTATATCTTTTAATGAACCCTTTCAGTTCAATACAGCAGAACTAAGATCAGTATTTGTTTCATCTTCTGTCAATGAGGTGAGGCAAATTCTCAGAGAGAATTACTCACTGTCTATTTTATTCTTCTGTCTTTATATTATATACAGTATACTCAACAGAGCAAGAATTATGTTCTTCTAAGTATGGATGTTTTAGTACTTTATTAGCATAAATTTCTGATATGTGATATTTTGCAAATAACCTCAGATTTTATGTTAAAGTACCTTTATATACTATTGCTCTAGTTAATATCTATTTATAGTTATCATTAAAAATATTCTTAAAAGACAAATTTTAAAGCAATTTTCATCAGAATTAAGAATTTATCAGATACAACATTCTTATTTCTTTCAGTAATAGAGTATTCATTGATTTTGGAAATTATTATTTGCATATACTTACTTCAATAACTTTATCATGCTCTGAAATAAAATTATCGTTACAGATCTGTTATAGATCTGATCATATATATGTGAAAGTACAAATATTTGAATGAGTAACAAGTCAACCTAAACAGCTGCTCCTGGCAACTAAAATCAGGGATTAGGGAAAAGGACAAGATACAGCAATTGGGAGACGGTAATGCAGTTACAGTGGTATGAATTTAATTCTTAGTGACACAATAGTTTCTGACTTAGAATGTGCACATAGAACAAGGTGCAAAAATATGGGCTGGTCACTTCGAACAGAGGACTGGAAGCTTCTTTTCTCTTTGTTCCCATAAGTAAATCTTTGGTCATCTGTATATAGCAGTTTACAGATCAGGTAAACCTCAAGGACCATGAGCAAACACAAGGAGTCAGGTCGAAAGCATTAGGCAGAAAATGTCTGCATCTTTTTAGCTTTTGTGACTACAAGAAAAGCAATGGTATTTAGACTGAGTAAATAATTGCATGCAAGGAATACTCAGAGAAACGCTCAGGACCTTGAATGCGTCGAGAAGCTCTAGTTGGCCTGACCAGCCTATAATCATTTTTCTCTGCACTCTTCCTTGGTGACCTCTTTCCCCTCTCTCACAGGTTTAACTGTCTGTGTTTGAGGTCAGCTCTGATGCAGTCCAGCACTGTCACCTTGGATCACCCTACTGTGAAAACAGAACTCATGTCCAAGATGTCCACACTTTCATTCTTTTACTCAGGAGCTGCATTTAAGCTCAGGCCTTTTCACTAGATCCTTTCCAGAGCTATTTTGTCAGTATGTCTGTATTCAGCTTTCTATCTCGGTGACTCTAATCTGTTGACTACTCAGCTTGACTGCAAACCTGCTTCATCACTATGGACTTGTCTGGTGACCACTGGACTTTTGGATTAATCTGTTGATCTGCTGTGTTCTTGTGAGTATTGAAGGATTGTGCCCTTTGTTGGTGAGGACACCATCCCTGCCAGCCTTGCTGTCACCCTTGGTTTCAGCTCTCCTTCCCTTACGGAGTAGACTACTCTTCCTACTCCCTGAAACAAGGAATAACAGTAATCCTAATATGTCTTGTCTGAACACCCAAACAATAAGTGGACCAGGACTAGATAGATGTCTCTAGGTGGCCCTACTTATGCAGGGTGATGACACAAGATGAACAAGATGAACTCCAAAGGTCCTTTCCAACCTCAACCATTCTGTGATTCCGTGATCTCCTGTTATTTGCAGAATGAGTGGTTGTTTAGAGTAACCTTTAAGTTATTTCCAGCTACTGCTGTTGGAAAAATGATTATTTCCTCTTTTGACAAACTATGGCCAGAAGAATCTTGGTATATGATGGATCTTGCTCAACATTTTCAGAGGCTATTTTGAGAGTTAAAACAAGCAACAAAATATTATTTTTTTCAAATTGTCAGTTAGAATCAACCTCACCACACTGCAGTTTTATCATCAAGCTTCTAAGTTTGTATTAAGTTTAAATGTGATTATGTTTAGATTACTAATTTGATTCTGGTTAAAACAATGACAACAGATGTTCTCAATTCAAGCAATGTATTTTTAAAGGCTGCAAGACAGCTGTGATTATCATCTGTATGGATAATAACATGGGACCACAATTAGTTACATATTCTTTTTTATTATAAAAATACTCTTCAGTTCTCCTACTTGATATAGTACGAAACACAATCTCTGTAGAAAAGTAATAAAAAAACCCCATATTACCCAAGTGACCCATGCTTGTGTTATTGATTTAAATAAATAAAACACATTAATGTATGTCTCTCATCTCTTAGACTGAAGAATGCATTTCAAGTTCTGCTTGTCTGAAGCTTTTATACTTTGGAGCATTGAATTAGTTTAACATGTATTAAATTACTTACAGTGAATCCTCCGATTATATTAAGACACAATCCTTCATTCAGACAGTTGATGCTGAGCAGCCTGCAGTAGTCAATTACTTCCTCACAGTTCTTTCCAGTGAATCCTGGCATGCAGCTGCAGATACACCAGTGTATTTTAGAGGACTTGCATTTTAAAAGTTAATTGTATTTAATTATGTTCCATAATTCTATTAAATAATGTTCTTGCAGTAACAAAATAAACTTCATATGTTATTTAAAATAAACAGAACATATTTTCATGCAATTAAAAATCATTTACACAACTCTGGATATCTTTACTTCTCCATAAAATATTTTTTTTTGTTGATTGAAGCATTTTCATATCAATACTTCATATAACATTCTAGAAATAAAAAAAAAATCTAGAATGATGTAATATTTAACAAAAAGTTAGAAATGAGGTTTTGGAAATCTATTAGAAAGGATGAGTCAATTAAATCATCAGAGAGAAAAACTAGAAATATGATGATAAATGAGATTAAAAGTCATTAGCATCAATCGTTATTAATGATTAACAAGGAGTAGTCCATAATGACATGCTGTAATGTAAGGAACAATGTAAGGAATCTGTGGAGAGAACAATGTACGGTTAGTTTTCTGTTTGCTTAATTGTAATTAGGTATTTTCTTTAAAGGAAAAAACTAGCATTCTGGTTTTGTGACAGTTTGTTAGTTCCATGTGATGCCAATGGAGCCATGGGTAACTCTTCTATGGTAAAATGAACTGCAGAAATTTCTTCTGCTTCATGTCAACACTTGTCATTAGTAGGAGAAAATCCTTTTCTTATCTAGCCCTCCAATGTTTAAAATATCTCATACACAAAGAAAAAAGATGAGATTTGACTGGAGAGTAAACAAGTCTATTCAAAAGCAATAATGGAACAATGTAGAAATTTATATCTCACTCAAAATATGTAAAAAGTACAACCCAGACTGCAAAAACTCTCTTTTGTCTTTTGATAGATAGACAATCCCTGTCAAATTCACTCGATATGTTCTTATAGACATGCTTAGCATGTTTCTCTCTCTAAAGGCTCTTTCTGGTAATATGGGAAGAAAAGATTTAAGTAGCAGAGAAAGGAAAAGGTCAGTTAGCTCAAAATTTGTGTTTGTCAAGGAACCCAAAAGAAATAGATGGGAAGTTTCTTTAGCTTTTTCTGAGAGGTTCTTTGTCTAATGGCTCAGCTCAGAAGCTGAAAATCATGAAGATGATACAGAATTGCTTCTGTTTTTTCTATGCTCTTCCTCCTAATGAATATGAGATTCAGTCGTGTTGCTTATGTTTCCCCATTTTAAAAAATGATACCATCCCTGGTTTCAGAATGCATGTATTTTCAATAGCAAATAGTGATGCAACAACATTCAATAGAAAGTATTTGAGTTAATTGTGTTTTCTAAATGAGTTAAAGATGCCTCATCAGTGAGTATGTGTATACCTCTGAAAGATTTGTAGAGACATCTATCATACCCAGAAGCTTAAGTCACTTGGAGAAGTGTTAAACAGGCTGGATTTCACCAGAAACCTGTAAGGAGCATGCACACAATCCACAGAGATGGGTGAATATGGGAAAACCTTATCTAAATAGTTATGTTCTTTGAGACTAGCATAGACACGACCACAGGAGGACACTCTATGCAAGTAGCAATAGACTACATGATCCTCACCCTCCTATTGAAAAAATTGTTGTATGTAAATCCTATAATTATACTGTTACCATTTCAAGTATTTGGAATTAAAATTCTTGTGAAGTCTATTCTTAACAAATTTCCAGTTCACATATTGTAGCTAATAGGAGTTTTTCATAATACTTTGTTGCTTTTATTTCAGCATGTTCAAACGTGTCAGATAGTTACATACTGATTTTTCCCTCTAAACAAAAGTACTCATATCAACAGATAACATATTTGTTGTCCTTTATATTATAGCACCATTCATCCATATATTGTATTTATATATAAAAGGAAGGTAAAGAAAAAAATTTATCTTTTGCTATAATTCCATTTTTAAATAACACTTAAAAGCAAATCAGAGTAACTCAGTTACAACTTGAGTTTTACTGATTTGGTTTTACTTATGATCCAAAATCAGGTGAAAGAGCTCCTAGCTTTCTTGGTTCAATTTATTTAGAAAATCCATGACTGTTGCATAAAATAGATAATTTAGAAGCCAATTTAGAAGCTGCTGCTTCTAATTTTTATATTTGTTCATTTTTTCTATTTTTGTTTTTATTATTATTTTGCAATAGACATACCAATGTCAGAGAAGGTAAGAGTAAATTAACAGCAAGAAAGCTGACAGTAAAGTTCCAAAGATGACACTAACAGAACAAATTTTCTCAGAACACCCTTTCACATTTTTTGTGACTTTTATTGTCCTAAAGAACATGGATAATAGAAGAAGATACAAAGTAAACAATCACAATTTATTGTGATAGATATCCTCGGTCACTGCCTATTTGAATTCACCTCAAATTTTGACATTTAAGAAAAAACGCTACTATTAGATTCTTAACGCAAAGTTGTATATGATATCAAGACTGAAAGGATAGAATTGGGATACAAGATAGTCATACATCATAACTGAAGTGGAGAAAATTAAATTCAGTCTGTTTGGTTATATGTTTAGAATGGAAAACCACTGCTTTCCCAAAGAAGAAAAGATAAGTAGATAGAAGCTGAGATGGTGATGGATATAAGCAGAATGCAGCTTGGGCATAAGAAGCAGCACACAAAATAGGGGTGAGCAAAACAAAATAAAAAGGAGTAAAAAAGTCAATTCAGCTATTATTTGAACATGTATATGCATGTGAGTGAAACATAATTATATTTATTTGAAATATTAAAATACTATAAGAGTGTATCAAGTTGTAGTATTACACCGAATGAAACACATTTTTTTGTGGAGTAACTAGACATAGTCTTAACCTACAGTATTTGACAATGATTATCAGAAATGAAACCTCTGATTAAAACTTTGAATGAGAAACTCCAAACCTCGTGAATAAAGCCACATAGTTAATGGCAGATTTCCTTTGGGTAAAATGAATTAAAACAAGACTCACAGCCAGAAAGCTTCCGGGTCTCTGACTTAACAGAATTGAAACTGTTAAATCATTGTTCCTATAGGTGTTCCAAAATCCTCTGTTATTCAAGTAGCTCATGCAAGATATAAATTTACAGAGAGAACTTTGAATCCTGAAAATAGAAAAGTATCTCACTGTTGGCCCTTTCTAGAAGTCAGCAACTCCTCTACATTTCAGCACTCTGACTTCGGCAAGACTGCAGCTCTCACAACCAAATTACTGAATCTGATCTCCTTGTGAAAAGTACAGGATTCATACTCCCTCAAAAAGCTTTCTCTCACCCAAATGCCTCCTTCTGAGTATACAGGTATACATATACATAGATTTTATATTTATTAAATATTTGAGATTAAGTGGTAGAAAACTGATTTTAATTTCACACAAAAAAATGTGAAATAATTTTCTATTTATTAATAATAAAGCTCATTTTCCCATTAAAGGTTAGACTAGATGATCTTTCAAGGTCTCTTCCAACCTGGATGGTTCTATGATTCTATTATTCTATTGAAATTACAATGCTGTCATATATATTTGAAGTTAAAAGTCTGTAGTTTTAGTACCTCGTTTAGGACAGCAGTCCAGGCTTTCTCTGTACCTCTGTACAGAGAAAATTGTGAATATCCAGAAGATACTTCATCTCACCCTTTCTGGGTATTGCTCTTTGTAAGAGATGAGTCCCTTTCTGGAATTCTCTTCCTTTACTAAGAAAGTCTAGTGTGCAGCTCAAATGCTAGGGAAAACTATGTGGATTGAACACTATCCTAAGTTTTTATTTAAACAGTATGTAGAGGGCCAAGCACTTGACGTTGTCCAAAGTTGAAGGAGACACTCTTCATTCATCTATTCAAAGTGCTGTCTCTAGGATATTATTTCCCTTTTTTAGAGCATTCCCAGTGTTACAAATAATAATCTTATCACCTATAGCATTTCTCAAACTAGCTCTCCACAAATGTGTCTCACCTGTCTTGTCAAATGTGTATTTTACAGATAGCACAACTGAATGCATAAATAGTACATAAATATGAAAGGTAAAATCTAAGCCCCACTGATATTAATAGGATCTCAATTCTTGATATTAATAGTAAACAGGATTGTACCATCTGAGCCCAAAAATAAAACCTCTAGCACCTAGCTTTAACACATAACCTAAGTGATTTTCTTGATAATCAGTATAAATGGATCATTAATTGTCCCTTTTTACTCTCTGTAATATTGATCTAAAAATGACTTCCAATCTTATTCTCACATAGCATATCAATAGAAAGACTGTTAAATCACCATGCCTTCCATTGCTATTTTCATTTACCAGTTTCCATGGTACAATGAGGTTCATGGTACAGACCATTTCTGTCAATGCTTTGTGAAATTATAAATTATTCAATCTGCATTGCACATAGGACCAGGATTTTTTTTTTTAGAGAAATGCAATATACATCTTGATATTATTTTTTCATGTTATGCATATTTTGTAAACTTAAGGTATCATTTAATACTAATTCATGAACTGATATACTGTGTAGAAGAATGGCTATAGAACAGTAAATTATTAGTAGCTTATATCTTGGTTTAAAGAATTGCAAAATAAATTATAATTGTTGTTCTGTGCTATACATATCTATATGGGAAGATCTAACTGTTTATGTGTTTGTATGTGTGTGTACATATGTGTGTACGTATTTACGTATAAGTATAAATAAAATTAAGTATTTTCTTCTTCTTTGATAAAATTGTAAACATATTTCTACTTATATTTTAATTTCTAGACTTCTCAACTGAATCTCTTCTGATGGACTGTAACTTTGTATTCTATACTTCTATTATGTATTTGCAGTTTGTAAGTTTATTCATAATATGTTTACAGGCTTTTGTGTGCCACAGCTTTCAATTTTCTCTTTTTATAAATATCCTAAATGTTGAAAGTTGTTCACTGCACTGCAGTAATGCATAGCAGAACTTACTTCAGACAGTCAGATAAAAGCCGAGCAAATGGAAAGAGAAAAAATTGTACTCCTTAGTGGTGTAAGAAAATATCTAAAAAGCTATTCAAAATGGAATGAAATTATATACTGGGTCACTTTTGTTATTGTCAAATAGATAATTTTCAGCATGATATTTCTGAAAAAAAGCATAATTTAATATGATACTTGAAGAATCAATTTAAGATATAGTAATGTATGTCTGTGAATTAGAAATTAAATCAGTTTTCTTATCCTTTACAGAAAAAAACATAAACATCATACACCCTGAAAGGGAGTGGTACCTGTAGTATGACTGTCTCAACTGTCATCATTGTGTTAGGATTTATATATTTTATCTTACAGAATTAATGATGACACTATTTATAACTCCTTAAATAAATTGTTTTTGTAGCACTTCGAGAGTTTTCAAGAAGACTAATAGAGTAAAGCACCCAAAATAAATTAAAAATAAGAAAATAAAAGTTTGTAGTTTTCCACATTCTCTGTGACTGACGATACCTTTTCTTTGTACAATCACTGGGATAACATCAAGTGATCCAAGAAAGTATTCAAATAAATTAATTTCTAATCTTACCGGCAGTTATAGTTCTGCTGTTGATCTATGCAAGTTGCATTATTTAAGCAAGGCAATAATTCACATGGATTCAGTATTCTCTCACAGAACTTGCCAGTGAATATTGGCAGACAGATACATGCCACATCCTATAGAAGAGAAGGAAATTAAAAATTATTTGTTGTGTCCAAGGCAATTCAGAAATTAGCGTTTACCTCCATTACTATAGAGGTCCTAACTAGGACAGGATTTCATCATATTAAACAGTCTACAAAGACAGAACAAAAAGCAGTCCTAGCCTCAAATAGGTTACAAATATAATTTAAGACAAGTGGAATAGGCCTTCCAGCACAGATTATACCAAAGTTGGGTTTACTAGCTGGAAATACATCAGCTCTAAATTTGCTTGGCTTTCTTATTTCATAACTGAATCACGAAGGAGCTTTATAATTAATTCAGGGTTTTTCCTCATTTCTGATTTTGTTCCAAGGTAGTGTTTTCATCTATCAAACAGAAACAGTGCACAAGGTACATCAGATATCAAACTGTATACACCAAAGAGAATAGGAAAGAAAAAGGTATGTAGCCTTTTTCCCCTTCAATAGGAAGCACAGAAACTATGCTTCTCTGTGATGGTGAAAGACATCTGTCAGTTAATGTAATTCAAAATTTACACCATAAGAACAGTAAGTTATTTTACAAAACAAAATATTTCTTAGAGCTGACACTGTCACTTATACTTTTCTGTATAAACTAATGTTCTTTATAGACCTTCTGATATCAGAAAGTAAAGGAAAAATATATACAAATACGCCTCTATAATCAAACCTTTTTGAGTCTGCATGATTTTTTTCTATTTTACAAAAAGAAACAAGAAAGAAAAAAAAAAAGGAACTAAAAACTAGGTACCACAGGAAAAGCAAGAATAAGAAACAACCACTACTTAATAAAAGTGACTGATGTATCATGTTTTATATTAGAAGAGTTTATTAGAGAGGGGAAAAAAAAAAGAGGCAACACTGGTAGTTCCTTAAGTGACCACCAAGCAACTGAACTGAAAATGCAGGATTTGGGCTCTTCAACTGTAGAAATATTAGAAACACTACACATTCAGACAATGTCATGTTTCTTCATGAAGCATGCAAAGCTAATTTTAAAATTTACATTAGAATTAAATGTTTTGACACTTTCATGGAACAGCTCCTCCTGGAAGTTATGTCAAGGCATATGGATGACAGGGAGGTGATTAGAAACAGCCAAAATGACTTCACAAAGGGCAAACCATGTCTGACTAATCTGATGGCTTTCTATGATGGAGTAACATTCCATAATAAGGAAAGAGCAACTGATGCCATCTACCTTGACTTCTGTAAGGCCTTTGACATCTTCCCACATAAAATCACTGTTGCTAAATTGGACAGATATGGGTTTGATGGATGGACTGTTCAATGGATAAGGAATTACCTGAATAGCCATTTCCAAAGAGTTGCAATCAACAGTGCAACGTCCAAACGGAGATCAGTGACAACAAATGGTACCCCTCATGGGCCTGCACTGAGACTGGTACTGTTCAATATCTTTATTAATGACATAGACAATGGGATTGAATGCACCCACAGCAAGTTTGAAGATGACACGTAGCTAAGCAGTGCAGTTGACTCACTAAAGGAAAGGGATGCCATATAGAGGGATCTTGAGACGCTTGAGCAGTGGGCCCATGTAAACCTCATGAATTCAACAAGGCCAAGTGTAAGGTTTTAGGTCAGCCTGGGTCAGGGCTATCACCAGTATCAGTACAGACTGGGTGATGAATGCATTAATAGCAGTCCTGTGGAGAAGAACTTAGTCACACTAGTGGGTGAAAAATTGGATATGAGCTAGCAATGTGCAGCTGCAGCCCAGAAAGCCAATTGTATCCTGGGCTGCATAAAAAGAAGTGTGGCCTGTAGGTCAAGGATGGTGATTCTCCTGCTTTACTTCACTCTCATGAGACCCCACCTGGAGTACTGTGTTCAGGACTGGAGACTTCAGCACAAGACAGACATGAACCTATTAGAGTGCATCCAGACGAGTGCCAAGAAAATTACTATAAAGAAAGACTGAGAGAATTGAGGTTTTTCAGCCTGGAGAAGAGATGGCTCTGGAGAGATATTGTTGAGACCTTTCAATACTTAAAGGAGACTTATAAGAAAGATGGAGAGAGACTTTTTACAAAGACATGTAGTGACAGCACAAGGAATAATGGTTTTAAACTAAGAGAGAGTATGTACAGATTAGACATAAGGAAGACATTCTTTACTGTGAGGGTTGTGAGACACTGCAAAAGATTTCCCAGAGAAGTTGTGGATGCCCTATCCCTGGGAGTGTTCAAGATCAAGTTGGATGGGGCTTTGAGAAACTTGACCTAGTGGAAGATGTCCCTGTCCACAGCACGAAGGTTGGAATTGGGCTTTAAAGGTCCCTTCCAACCCAAACTATTCTATGATTCTATGATTCTATTTTCAAATAAGGATATCTGAAGTTTATACTTACATTTGGCAAATCAATACATGTACCTCTGTTCTGACATGGCCAAGAAGAACATTCATTAAAATCCATTTCACAATTGTGACCAAGAAAACCAGCAGGACAATCACAAAGATATCCAGATTGATTATATTGGCATATGCCCCCATTCAGGCATGGCTGAGATTCACAAGGATCACCAGGTTCCTCGCAAAATGGACCTAAAAGAAATAAAAAAAAATCAGGGAGTGTTTGAGTGAATGATGCTTCTTGATATGCTGCCCATAAACACTACCTTGTTGCTGTGTTTTTGTTGGTTTTGGTTTGTTTTTTGTTTGTTTTTTTTTTTTTAATTTTATGAGAGTTTGAGAAGCTTTTATTTATTTTGGTTTTCTTAAATTATCTACACTGTGACGCTCCAGTTGACTGGGACATCTGTAAGCTATCACCATTTGAAAAGTAAAAAACTTAAAATATTCCAGTGTGTTTTGTTTGTTTTGATGAATAAATATAGTAGAAATATGTGGGAGTGGCTAATCTTATCCGTAGCAAAGGGAGGAGAACTGGAACCATAATCCCAGGAGATGCTAAACAGTCACTGAACATCTCTCTTGCAGCAGTTATTATTAAGGGAAGCTGAATCCAGTGGACTTTCAGACCAAGAAGGTTGTTCCCGTTCCTGTCTATAGCTCCAGCCAGTAGTGAAGCTGAGTGTACTCTCAGTAGGTGCACACACAATGATGCACACACCTACCCACACAATACAGATGCAGTGCCCACATGGATCAACACAAACAGCACTCACATGAGCACGAACAGCAACGATGGCTCAAAATTTTTCCTCCTCTCTGGCTACTCAGTATTGAAGTTCACCAGAGAACATACATACTCCCTCATTTTCTAAATGCATAATCCCACATTAATGGATCCTTCAAATATCAACATAGGTTTTAAGTCTGTCTGATATCCATACCCAGATCCTGAACATCTTGCCAACTTGCTGGCTCAGGCCTTGAGTCATTCCAGATCTGGGTATCATTCCCATCCCTGCCCACTAGGAAGAGTGGTAACAAAGAAGTAGTAAAGAAAAGAGACTGAAGTGATCAGACACAGGCTCAGCCAGAGAAAAGTAATGAGCAGCAGCTCACACTCAGCCAGTTCTTTTATCACATTTTCTCTATGTTTTCCCATATTTTTACTTCTCCTGTCCACCTTGATTCCTACCTTTCTTCACTTTTTTCTTCTCACAGATAAACAATCCTCACCTAAGTGTTTTTCCCTATTGACTCTAGTTTTGCCATGTCCATACACAAATTCAATATTTCAGATATGATTATCTAGATAATCTTGGCTTTATGTGATATTACTGATATGATTACTCAGGCTCTGTTGGCCTTGCAAGAAAAATAGTCCACAAAATGTCCCCAATTCCGCCCTTTTAATTATCTGTGAAGTTCTCCTGCCTCTCACAAAATTCTCCCTTAACTATCTGTGAAATCCAGTCATCACTCAAGAAGCTATCTGCAACTTCTGTCAGCCAATCACTCATTTGTTAAGCTCAGCAGCTTTTCATCGGTTCAGTTATTGTAATCCCAGGCAGGGGTTTACTAATCTTCCTACATACTTCAACAGTTATGAGCTGCCTAAGTCTTTTGGACAATGAACTCTTTTTAATCGTGCAACATCAAAGATACAGCAGAATTATACCAGCTAAGAATTTACTTCCACTTCTGGAAAATTATGTACCAAATATGCTTTTACATATCTTGTACTTTGCACTTTGATTTAAACCACCTTCCTAACACATACTTATAGATTATATCAGATGCTTTTTCAATAATTTGCTGTAGCAATAACATTAATTTTATAATAAATCTATTCTGAAGTAGTAGTATGTATTGATTCCACATTTTGTTTGTCACTTGAATCAGCTGAATTAAAAATAGACATCCATAAAAAAATAAATTATGCTTTACAAAAATATGTATACTTTTGAAATGGTAAACATAATACTTTTGACTCAGAATTAGAAACTGCTAGGTAAACATAGTTAATTCATTCCAAACCAGTTGATAAATAAGTATGTGAGCCTCTAATAATTTCCTTATCAAAAGACCAGCTATACAGAGAAACTGTAAGTATGTGGAACAACATTTACCAGGAGATTGAAATATCACACTCTGTCTCTATTATATACCAGTACAGCTGATGCAATATTCAGTATACAAGAAAAACCCATTAGCAGAAAAAGGGTCAAAACACAATTTCCTTTTTATCACTCAATTCATTGGAAATACCTGTTCCAATAAGGGAAAATGAATCAGATCTATCTTTTTAGGACATATTATTTCCTTCTTTTTAGCATCAGAGGACATTAAAAGAATCTTTCATGAATTTGTTGCTATCCCTTATCACCATAGTAACCAAATTAGAGTAAAAGTGTATTGCAAGTTGCAGATGTTAGGACTTCATAGAATCATAGAATGGTTAGGGCTGGAAGGGACCTTCAAAGGTCATCTAGTCCAACTCCCCTGCAAGGAACAGGGATATCTCCAACTAGATCAGGTTGCTCAGGGCCTCGTCCAACCTGGCCTTGAACGTCTCCAGGGATGGAGCATCCACCACCTCTCTGGGCAACCTGTTCCAGTGTTCTACAACTCTCATGGTAAAAAATTTTTTCCTAATATCCAATCTGAATCTACCTCCCTCTATTTTAAAACCATTACCCCTTGTCCTATCACAACAGGCCCTCCTGAACAGCTTCTCCCCATCTTTCCTGTAGGCCCCCTTGAGGTACTGGAAGACCGCTATAAGGTCACCCCGGAGCCTCCTCTTCTCCAGGCTGAACAGCCCCAACTCTTTCAGCCTGTCCTCATAGGAAAGGTGCTCCAGCCCTCTTATCATCTTCGTGGCCCTCCTCTGGACCCTCTCCAACTGGTCCATGTCCTTCTTATGTTGGGGGCTCCAGAACTGGACGCAGTACTCCAGGTGAGGTCTCATGAGGGCAGAGTAGAGGGGAAAAGCTGAGAAAGCCATTCCTCAGAACAAGACCATTGACTGGTATTAGTGCATATATACGAGAACATCTGCAACATCAAGTGAGGTGGATTGGTCAATTGTTTATTATTCAATTTATTATTTAGCTGTACTATTATACTTCAGTACAATGTTGTACCTCAGTATTACTCATATCAATGCTTATCTCATTTTTTTCCCTTTTATTGGACACATTTGATAAGAATGGGTGCTCCTGTCCCACCCACGTTACTGAACAGGAGAAGGCAAATCAGCAGAACAATGACCCCAACTGCTCTGCCCAAAGGAAAATCAGAAAGTGTAGTTCTACAAGCCAAATGGATTAATGAGTTGTTCCTGCTATTGTTGCTAGTGCTGAATTCATTCAATCCTCTCCATTTTTTCTGCCACCATTACCAAGAATTTCTTAGCCTTTCGTTAAAAAATGACACTGGATAGGATTATTAGAACACGGAAAGATTAAATGAAAAATAATAACACAGAACAAAGAAGGCCAGTCGGGGAAACTGAATGAAAGAGGTGCCTTTTTTGTAAGGTTATGCTCATTTGAAACAAAACTAGGAAAAGGGCATTGTTCTGATAAAAAAAAAAAAAACAGAGTGCAACTTTCTTTTAGGGAAGACTAAAAGAAACTAGAAGAAGAATAAAGAAAAGCCTGAGAGGAGATAAGGAAATATTGTTAATCACGGCATGAGAGATGTATGAAGGAAAAAATGTATGGTTCAAGAATGGCAAAAAAAGGTGTTCAGCTTTTTTTCTCCTTGGCATCTCCTTGCAAAGGGTAAAAGGTTATATTTTTCTTTTTGTTAATTTGTAAAAAGCAGTGTATTTAGTGTTAATTGGAAGGCAATTACCTAACCAGGTCAAAGGGGATTGGTTTAAATGAAGATCCTGAGGCAGCAACTGCACTCATGGTCTAAAACACAATTCAAATCTTTTACAGGTCTATCTAGAGTGAATTCAGTAAAAAACTCTGCGAACCGCCTAACACCTTATAGGAAGAATTCAGTCTTGAACAAGAATATTTCCTTAATCATTAACACTACTTATGTCTTTGACTTTCCTCTACTTTATAATAATTTATTGTGTTCAGCATCATATGTGAAAAGCAAGAGCAGTGCTTTTTCACCGGAGCATCCATGCCTGATGAGTTTGACAAATCAAGTCAATAAAAGGAATTCTGGAATATTGGTGTTTTGAGCTTTTCATTCTGTCATTCCCAAACCTCATGTCACACTCAATCTATTCTCTGAAGAAGATTGAAAGGTGACTCTATTACAGCCTTTGGATAGGGAAAATATCAAGCACTAAAGGAATAGTTAATTCAGTGGAAAAAAAGTTTAACAAAAAGAAATGACTGAAGAGAAAAGCAAAACCAAATAAATTTAGAAACACACCTTACATATTTTCACCAGGGAGATCTCTGTACCAGACAACCATGAAATAAATGAGTTTGACAGTTGCTGATGTCTTCACATCAATGCTTTTTGAAAGACATAATTTTAATCATATACAAGACAGAAGCCTTAATATATAGATAAGATATAACAACCTTTAGGAAGAACACATGAGCAACTGGTCCTCTAAACTTGCAAATCTATTCATTTACTTTGACTAAAAATGTATACAAAACCTCTTAACAATTGTTTAAAATTAGGAATTCATTCTAAATTCCCATTTTAAAATTTATACGTTTTTGCCGTCATCAGTGCCTCTTGTTTAGGTGTGTTTAAATAAATACTTAACTTCCTAGCTATGCTGACATTTACTGAGCTCTTGAATGCTATTCTTAGCAGAAAGGTAAAGAGGGAACAGGATAAAAACACATCTGCATATGCTGAAGTCAAATGTAAACTCCTGAAGGAGGACAATATTTAAGCAATGAACAATGCAACTGGGAACAACACATCGGTCCAACTTGCAAATGCATATTGAAAATGTTTGTACAAATTCTGGAGACCTGAGATTTAATTAAAAAAAAAAGTGAAGATTACAGCATTGCTGGATAAAGGAAGGGCAACTGACATAATTTACCTGGACTTGACCAAAGCATTTGACACTGTCCCACAAGGCATCCTGTGAGACCCCACCTGGAATACTGCGTTCCCCTCTGGGGCCCCCAAAATAAGAACATGGAGCTGTTGGAGTGAGTTCAGAGGAGGGCCACAAAGATCATCTAAGGGCT